ATATATATATATATATATATATATATATATATATATATATATATATATCGTAATTCGTTACTCGATGAATGTCAAGTATAATGACCCGCTTCAAAAGAAGCATTTAACACGCTATCTCTCGAATGAGTTTAGATATCAGTAAACAACGCATTTCGAAACAGATTCTGCATCGAACTTTGTTGTTGTTGCAAAGTGTATAAATGACAAATGTGGACGTACCTTTAATTCCGCTCGATATAGATGCGTTGGTGAGTTCATGATCGATGCATGTACATACTTTCTCTTTCTCTCTTTCTTTCAGTTTCCGCCATTAATTGATTATTCATCTTCCTACATACATACATACACACGTACACACATACATACATATACGTGTATATATATATATATATATCCTTTTTTTATTACAATATACAAAAATTTAATCTTTTATTACATTTTATCAGGATAGAATCTTACAATTATTGCATTTAAAATACTAGGAAAATTATGTACGTATGAACGGAAAAAATTGATCGTGTTAGAAATATTGAAAAGATCTGTGGTAAGTATACGAGTATATACGTTAATTATGAGTAATTAATTGTAAATAAGTGGATTTCGTTAGATTCTACGACGATCATTGATCGTGCCTGGAACAAGTGTGCACTGTAACGATATTACTTTCGAACAGAGGAGAGCAATGACCTACTGCGCGTGGTGCACGTGTGCCGAGTGGAAACCATGACTGCTGCCTCCAGACAGGGCATTGGACGCCGCGTGCGGTAGCAAGAACGATGGCTACGCTGATACACGTTTTTTGCGTAGTAGTGCCCCTGAGAGATTGCGCTCGTAGCATGTAGATGATAATAACAGTGACAGTAGCAGTCACATCTAACAATATTAAAATTTCTTTTAAATACTTTAATTCTTTCCCGTCTTCGTAATTCTGCCAGTTCACAAATCGAACCTCAAACGAAATCAAAGAACGAAAACAATTTTTTCACTTGAGTTTGAAAAACGTTGTAATTTCTTTACCGCCATTCAAAATAGAGTTTTAGTCTATCAATTGTTTAATACTTAAATCGATATCTTTAAAAATATTTTAATTATATCGAATATGTTTTCAATGTTACGTTCGATGCATTCAATATATTTTCATACATTTTTATATTTTTTAATATTCATTTTACGTCTCACACTGTAGTTTCTTTTAAACATTTAGAATAATGTGACACACGTAATAATATAACGCATGTACATATTCGTAGATTATATTAAATTTTCAAAATGTTGCGATAATAACCATTCCCCGTTGATTTAAATTTTAGATAATGAAGATTGAATATTCTAACATTGAACGTACAAGTACACACTTAATACACTTAATACCACCGTTAAATCATTGAAATTATTATAGATCGCTTGCTATCCAATTTCACATGACAGACAATTTCTGTTATACTTTTGAAAAGCACTTTTGAACCATGTATAATTATTTTATGTATGTACCATCGGAATTAATATCAATTTCTTCTGTTGCAAACGGAGATAACAATAAATGTATAAAGTATCGTGTAACATCGATAATTTGAAAACGTATTCGACGGATAAAATATATACGTGCACACAATGTCAATTGTGCGAGACGTGTATATGCAGATGGAATTGTTGTTTCAAATTTTAATCGCTGTTTGCAAGTGCACGGTATTCTTTACTTTTTTAATACCGGTGACCTGTGAATTGTAACTTGACGCGTTGATAATACTAATTCAGTGTGCACGAAGATTCTGATACGGAGTCATTGAAAAAAGCACAAGGGGCCATTAGTGCAACGTACGATCCTGCAGACACGTGGGTCAACACGACTTACGTGGCACAAAACACACGCAGTGTCGGGGTCGCGGCGAAATCGACAAGGGTTGCGAGACATCGAAGATAGAAGTCGAACAGCGGGTGGTGGGGTTATGGACCAAATAGAAATCTCGGGGGTGGGGAGAGGGAAGTAGTGGGGTTAGGGTCGAGGTAACAATCAACTCTAGAGCGATGTCGTACCTTGACCAATCTTAACGCGACTTGTTTTAAGCTACGTCAACGGCGACCTTAGAAATGTCGCGCGTAAAACCAAAATGGCAAAGAGAGAAGGAAACCTAACCTAGATCGTAGAGCTATTTTTTTGTTTATCGGCCATGGTTTCGCGTGGTACTTTCCACGGACTGTTGTAGAAAGTTAAGACGAATGGAAGATTCTATATTCATAGAATGACACCTATCATATAGGTATAAAATCAATAGTAATACTTATACGATATATCGTTACATCATTAACAAAATTGCTACATCATCGAAGATGACAAGTCACATTTTCTCGGTTTCGTTCGATATACGGGGAGAAATTTTAAAATGCATTACGCTGGTAATTAGTAATACGCTTTAATTAATAATTAATAATACTTTAATTAATAATTAATAATCACGTCTTTGTTCAGTCTTCAGATTAGATATACGTCTATCTCGAACATTTTAAAAACATTCAAATCACAATGCCCAAGCATTTTTTTTATCTACCAGACAGCATAAAAAATGAAATCAAAAATAGACATTTTGTCACATTTTTTCCTTGTATGCTTCGCTCAAACTACGAATGCTTGTACTATCTCGTATCTTTATAAACACAATTAAAAATGTAGATTTGTTACAAATTAACAAGTACCATATCTTATTTATACATTTTTGTGCATTTCTGTGCAAATCTTCGAATCTCTCACAAACATGTAAGAAATGTCTGAAGTGTTTCTAACCACGATACACTGCACTTGCACCTGCACTTGCACTTGCACCGCGAAATATGAAGTCTTACAAACACGCGTTTAGCGCGTTTAGCAACGATTACGAAGCAAAAAATTTTTCCAATTTTTGTGATTGTTGGATCATTGAAATAAAAATACACGTATGTCAAACATGAAATCTGTTTGATCGATATCATTTATTTACTCCTATTTATCGAAGATTCGAAACGATTTACTTGAAATATAACGATATATCTCATAACATATGTATACACGTATATAGCACGTAGGAAAGGAAAGGATAGAAGAGATCAAAAGAGGTCAAATCAGTACGAATACATGTTAAGTAGAAAGTGGAAAGTATCTCTAAGGTCAATGACCAAGGTTTAATAACCAAGGTATAATGCCACCGATTGCTCCGCGTAGCATATTACACCTCAAGGTCGTATAGACGTAGATACGAGCATGACGTTGCCTCGACTTTCCCTCTTCCGTATTTAAGTATCTTTCTCCAAAATTACATAATTCAGAATTATATGTAAAAATTACATAATTTGCGATGTGTGTAAACATTTTGTATGACGTGTATAAACGAGTAACAAGAACGAGTACAATTAATAAAAAAAGTTGATTTTTTATTCCATTCTAATATGTCGTATATTATCATACGATCGATGACACTGTTTTGTATTTATCGTGTAACTCTTTTTTTTTTTAATTCGGAAAAGAATTATATTTTTATTTCTGGTATTTAATTACACGTATTGAACTGTTTATCAATCATGAATATCACTGTATCGTTCAAATGATTGCATAACTTTTGCAAATTTAACAATAAATTATTTTCATCAATCGTCATTTTATTTCATTACAAAGAATCTATTCTAATAATATTCTAATCTATGTTATTATATACCCCCTGATTTTCATTACAAAGATGTAGCTGCGATACGGAGACAATTTCTCGGGAATATTGCAGTTTCTACAATAGCTACGCGTAGTTCTACACGTATACGAATGTATAATAATACAAATAAAATCGATGTGGGAACAGAACAAGTTCAAAAATGAGCGATAACAACACATCTTTGACTAATCCTTGGGATGCGTTATCCACTGTGACAACATTTGACAGAGGTAGACATAACATAACCTTAAATTCTCGCGCGTTTTTGAAATATGTTTAAAACGCTCGTTCCGAGTCAACTATTTTTTATCGTCATTTATACTGTTTTAATCGATATCGAACTTAGTAATCATTTTTGTAAAAAGTGTATCGATATGGTTATTTAGATGATAGATCGTTCATCACCAGGAATGACACTTGCAAAATTTAAATTACTCTAAATAATCTCTGATATTTTATCACGTTGTTTATATTTTTTAGGTAACGATGCAATATCCACGATATGTTTGGAGAATGAAAATAATCCGAACGATAAGCAACTTGTGAGCATTGTTACAACCACTAGCAGTCTTTTAATCGAGTCGCTTATAAAGCACCTGTGTATATTATTCGAAGATGATTCAGTATGCAAAAATGAATTATATTTTGGTAATACATCTCAATTTTTGACAATAACTAAATCTTGCAACAATTGCTAGATAATAACTAAATAATTTTCATTATTTAGAACGTTTAAATCAAAGAATCGTATTATTTCATTGAAAAATCTTTTTTATCAATTTTTAAATTATCTAACGTTTCGATAAACTTTCTAAATAGATCGCAAGATCATTCTTATGCTTATTTTTAGCTATTTGTAATAAACTTCACGAATTGAAACTTATCGATGGTTCTTACAATGTGATGGAATTAGAATCATTAAGAAGTCAATATCAACAAGCACTGTATCATTTGTTTACAGTTATACGTGGTACAATTAGTTGCGAGAATACACTTCAGGTTTCAAGGTAAACTTTTGCATATCCTCTGACGTACAGTTGCAGTTAAGAAAATGACGTTACGTTTAGTTCTTATGCATTTAATTATTGCGTAGATCGTCAGTCGCAGAATGGTCTAGGTATCACAGAGAATTTCAAGAAATAAGCTTTATCGCCGCTGGAGGATTTGGGGACGTTTTTAAAGCTTTAAATCGTCTCGATGGCATTGAATATGCCGTTAAAAAGATAAAAGTACGTTCCGGTCGAGTTAAAAATATAATGCAACATCTCGAAGAAGTGAAAACTCTTGCCAAATTAAATCACACCAATATAGTGTCGTACAAAGGTGCATGGATCGAGCCTTCGATTTTTACGCGGAACTTAGTATCCTCGAGTCATTTTCAAAGCAGATTAAGTTCCATAGAATATAACGAAAGAAGTGGAAACAAGTCATACGTAAATCGGACATCCAGTTCACAAAGTCAACAAAGTTCAGATACCGGAAGTAGTCAAAGTTCCAAGGAAAATGGTAAAAAGAACATGTTGCTACGACATAGAAAACGAATAAATTGTAAATCTGGTACGTGTAACTATATCGGACAATTAATAATCAATCACAATATTATTAAAATCTGACAAATCTGAATTTGTTCGTTGTTACATAGAGGAAGAAAGCGAGGAGAAAACTAGTTCAAACAGTATATCCTTTAGAAATGACAGTCAACTTCAAAGTAACAAAACAAAAAGTATTACAAATTATACCGACGGCAGTAATTCGTGCGAAGAATCCAATAAAAATAAGATAGTTCTACCATACGTACTTCGAACGGTATGTGTATATATATTATATATATATCATCGTTGTACACTGATATTAATTTTTCATTTTTCCCATTATATATATGACATTAAAGAATGAGAAATACACAACATTGTATATTCAAATGGCTCTTTGCGAGAAAACACTTCAACAGTGGCTTGACGAAAGAATGGAAATTACTCCACAAGCAATGATTATTGCGATATTAACTCAAATTGTTCGTGGTTTGGATTACATACATTCTCGCGGAATCGTGCACCATGACATAAAGGTAAATAACGCAGAAAAAGAAAAAAATAAAAAAATGAACAAAGAGTTTTCCCTTCACTGCTCAATGCGTACAACGTATATTATTTTTTACTCCACTTTAGCCGAGCAACATATTTATTTCAACATCGGAACGGCTACAGATACAGTTGGGAGATTTTGGATTAGCTTGTCCATTAAGAAGTGAAAATCACCATTCCATAATAGGCACGCACATGTACGCAGCGCCAGAGCAACTACGAGGAAAGTGCGATCCTAAAGTACTGTTTTCTTCTTTTTCTAAAATAAAATATTAATTTTTAAAAGATCGTTTAAAATAATTTTCATTCTTTCAGAGTGACGTGTACAGCGTAGGAATAGTATTCCTGGAGCTATTGATACACACGAGAACTCGCATGGAAAGAATCGAAATAATTAATAGTTTGAAAAGAGGACACGTGCCTACAATGTTAGCTGCTACTCATCCTAAATGGGTATGTGTTTAAAATAAGATGTTGTTTTAATAAAAAAAAAACCAGTTAAACCGATAAAAGTTCAATCAATGTTCGTTAGGCATACGTAGTAAGTCAGTTGATTCAAGAAGATCCCGGGAAACGACCATCAACGAATCAATTATTACAAGATTTAAACGAAGATAAAGATACGACGATAGCACGCTTGAAGAACGATATCATCGAGAAAGACGACGTAATAAAAAATTTACAAGAAAGGATATTAGTATTAGAACAAATCGTTAAACACAGTACACCGTTGCAGGACGTGTAAACCGTTGTATCGTTAAATTGAAAAATAGCGAACTTTTAGGAATAGCAAGTACCGATACTTTTGACGAAGCGAATGACAAAATGCTAACGGTGGCTTGTGTTCTTATAAGAATATAACAAAGACAAGAGTCATTCGTAGAATGTGTATTTATCGGATCTATATACATATAGAGTATGTATTTACCGAATCGCTGTGCATTTGTCAAATATATGCAGCATACAGAATTGTCCTTTGACAAGGAAACGCGTCCGTACGTGTTTTATTTTATATTAAAGTAAAATATTTATTTTATATTAAAGTAAAATATTTGTAAATATTTTTAATGCTATCGCAATTTGATCGATAAAAATCATTGTCCGCTACATGCGTAAACGTGTTTCGTTTAATAAAATAGATATTTGAAAAAATTACAACGAACTGTGAAAGTCGATCGAACGATATTGATTTTCTTTAATTGCTTGCTATCTTAATCGCAGACGATTGCTTTTCAACCTGGTAATCAAGTCATCATTTATGACTGAAATTAGAATAGTATTATTAGAGTTTATTCACGATTATTTATTTTAAGGAAAATGGGATCGTTTATTTAGAAATTACCACGTCTAACAAAAAAAGAACCATCGACAAAAAAAGAATCACAATATACAATATTGTCAATTATCAGTTCACATATGAAAATTTTGTACATAATAATTTACATTCGATTACAGTTAATTGCACATCTTTATTTAATACTTTTACGCCTTTGTATTATAATATCTAACAGCTTTTTAAGTTCTATTCCTGCGTCTATTCTATTGAGAGGTGTTTGAGGATGTACGCACTGTTGTATTAAACGTCGTACATTTGGATAACTTTCAAATATATCTGCAGGCATGTCGTGTAGCAGACCACCAGGTAATATACCATTATTTACATTTAACGTCAATAATACCTATAATTTAAAAGTTAAAAAGTTCCTCTATCGGCGAGAATGAGGTACATCGAGGTACATTTTTACGATCTAACTAATTCATTTGTACAATATACGATAAATTAGCATCATGTATTTTCAAATAATAAGAACTGACCTTACATATCGCGTAATAGTTGTGATCGCTGACTCTGTGATTGCATATGTCAGTACTAGAGAATGCTAAACATTCTGAACAACTAAAATCCTCGGTATTCACTTGCAATCGATTCCACGTAGTAGATTTCTCTAAAAAAAAGTGTACAAAATTCTTAAGCGATCAATCGAGATGTAAATGCTTGGCACCGAGCTCTATCATCGTTCTAAAAAAATACCAACACGTTTTACTTTTAGAATACCTGTAGGAGTTGTACTTTTATCAACAACAATGATACTCTCTAGATCCACAAATTTTACATTATCAGCTGAATCGACTGCTACGTTATCAGCAGATACATCAGTTAAATAGAAACTAAAATTTTCATTTTTATAAGTAAACTTATAAGCAGCATCTAAAAGACTCGAAGCTAGTTTAGCTCTACGTAACCATGGCTCGTTGTAATAAGCAGTTAATGGCAATCCGACATACTCCTCGACTACAATTCGTCCACAGGCACCAAAATATTTTGGTACTGGCCAACCTTTGTCCGCGGATAATATCTACAAAGAAGGATGTCGCTTTTTTATTCTCGTTCTGTACGAAATCGTTTCAACACACGAGGTTTTGTACTTTGATTCCTCTTGCTGACACGAGTTCTCGTAAAAGTCTCAATATGTATGAAAAAGCGGTATATAACGTGAAAATTAATGCCTGTAAACTAATTTACGTTTAAACGATTTAAAAATCGATCGAATACGATCGTGCATGTACCTGTAGAACGAGAGGCTCGGGATTAAGAACCGTTAATACCCAAACGTAGACGTCGAGCACTTTCCTATCGGTATCTCTCTCGTAGTAATACACATCGTTTAGAAGGGCGTTTAAACGTTGAACGGTGGGGCAAAGCTTCAAACGGTTAAAGTTATTTCTTACAGGATTCGTACCAATCTCTTTTTCAACGAGTTCGCGAAAATTGGCATTAATTTTATAGTCTGTTCTCTTTATACTTTTCGTACAGACGTCGGAAAACGCTTCGTCCTCGCAAATCATTCGATCAAATTCGTCCAATTCGGAATTTTGTGCCAGCTTCTTCAGGATTACTCTACTTCCGTTAAAGACTCCAAAAAATACATTTTTTACTCCGAAGAAGTACGCAAACACGGAATAAACATCACGAAGCGCGATGTCTACTTCGTGGATATAATTACACGCCGAAGTACCGAAACATGCTGGACATTTATGTAATTCTATCGAACGACGTATGTTTGGTTGAAATGTAAAAATCGTGAACCACTTTAACGCTATTAAGATTGCCAGAAGCGACAATATCTCCCATTTTTTAAATTTCAATATATTGCATATATACGATAAAAGCATACGTACAGTGATGTTTTTTACATCTAAAACGCAATTAGTTGTCAAAATCTTGTGTGCGCTAATTTGTGTATCGACGCGGAACGCACTCGGTACAATAACGACAAAAAAAAAGCGGTATGCAAGCTCTGAAAAATAGAAATACACACAATACACTTTACTTTTCAATAGAAAAATCGTGCAAAATTATGTAATTTCATCTTTTTTGCGATACTTCTTCTCTATGTTTTGTGACGAATTCAAAACTGCAACTCGACACAAATATCGAATAAATATTGCATACGGACAATTTGTAAACTTTTTATATTTATATCGTACTACTTTGTGAATCAAAAAAAAATACGAGAAGAAAGCTGAGAACAATCGTAGAAGTTTACAAATAATTGCCTCAAATTACTTTTCTCTGCAATTGAAGATTAACCTTCAAATTTACGGACACTGAAATGCCAGCGTCGCGTAGCGGTGAAACGATAGAACTAATTTATATTTCTGTCCTTGTCGCGAGCTATTGTTTTCCTTGTCTACTGTCATCAGCAAGGAAAGCAATAGCGCGCGACGAGGATATCCTTCGATCTATTGAAAGAAAAATTCAAATTTTTACACATACATTTTTTTTAGGGCAAAACGCACGTAAAAAGAAAGCTGAGAGCCTAATTCTAGAGAGGAATATAGAAAACTTGGCAAATCATTCTTCCTAATTAGTTTTTTTTCGTGATTAGTGCAAACTGTCACATTTTGGATATAGTGGCGCCATCTGGCGGTAACTCGGTGGTACTAATTAATTTCAAAAAAAGTTATCTCCGCATTTCAGGGTTCAAATACGGCATGAGAAGAAAGCCAAGGATCTAATTAGGGTAATTCAATCGCCAAAGTTCACGATTCGTTTCGCTAAATTACTTTTTTTCGCAAATGAAAATTTCTCTGTTTTACGGGGTAAGATACGCTAGCGCCGCGTTGTGGCAGAAAGGTGGAACTAAAATGCAGAAGTAATTACTTTTACGGAAATATAAATTAGTTCCATCGTTTCACCGCTACGCGACGCTAGCATTTCAGTGTCCGTAAATTTTAAGATTAATTTTCAATTGCAGAGAAAAGTAATTCGTGAGATTTGTTTGTGGATTTTTACAATCCAGTTCTCAGTCTTTTTCTTTTCTTTTCATGTGTTTCACTCAACCTACGAAATACACAAATAGAAATTTCCAAATTCTATCGAATAGATCGGAGCGTTGATGAAAGTCAATGGATTAAAATTAAACAACGTTTAGTCGTAACTACCAGCAGTTTTGGAATAGATAGTAAATTAGAAAGTAAAGCGCGTGGAAAGTAAATCAATCGCGTGAAAATGTGAAGTTTATTATATTTTTAATTTTCGATATTGTCATTGCGAATCGTCCACGTCACGTAGAAACGTTAAGAGATTTAAAGGTGGTTCGCAAAGCAGAACGTTCGCACAACATTGCTCACTGTTCTATATGTTCGTTGTCCGTGATTGTATTTGGACGTTTTCATCGACTGTTCGACAAATTAATCGAACAAAAACATGGATTATTACGAAATATTGCTTTATCTAACAACAATTGACAAAACTGAAGATGGTACGATGGATGTTTTTATATCTTATATTTTAAACGCGAATAAATATACGTAAATGTAAATTAAGCAACTAGTAATAACATACAGATAATAAAAATTTTACAATTTTACACGTTGTAGGACTAATTAATGATTTCAACGAAAGACTGCAACAAATTTTACAAAAAGTACAAACAAGTGATTCGATGAAAAATAATGGAAAATTCGAGATCGATACTGTCGATAGCAAAAACGAACTCAACGATGTCAGGTAATGACAATACACGATAAAGAGACGCATTTTTTTCAACTTTTATCTAGAATTTATTTATTAGCTGCCATACTAGAATTACACGAATCACTTTTCTCGACGTAAATCGACGATGCAAAGATCTAATTCTGTTGGTCTTTCCTTTAATCGAATTAAAACGAATCGTTCAACGGAACAAATTCATTTTATATCAACGAAAGACGCAAACGTTCGCGCGCAGCTATCGCCAAAATATTTAAAATTATTTTATCGACAAACCACTATCGTAGTACATTGCTAACGAAAATTACTTTTAGGTATCGATACTTACGTACGATTGTACACGTTCTACGAAATATAAAGACGAATAATTCCGCGAACGACGAACCTTTACACAGCGTTCAGCAATTTCGTACTTTAAAAAGTTCCGTAGAATTAATAACCGCGATAGGGATTACATCCTGTCTTTTACCTGGTGTTGGAGTCGACATGGCTAAAACATGTCCGAAAGCTCTGTCGATCTGCAAGGAAGAGCCAACAGATTTACAGGTACAGGCGGATTACGTCGTCGTCGTCGTTGCAGCAAACTGATACATGTACAACGAATTAAAAACAGTTAAATTAAAAATATGTTTGCGATTTCAGAAATACGAGAGATTGAAATTTACAGTTAATTCGCTTGCACAGTTGTACAACGATGAAATTACATATCGTCCTGCGATACTTACTCAAATCGGACCATTACTGGCTGCACTTTTGCAATTATGCCACGCCCCATTGACGAAACCATCCACCAAACAGGCTACATCGATTCGAGAAGGAAATGCCAATAATAAAGATAAATTTACAATGACGGCAGATTTATACGACGAATTAAAAAGAGACCAAGAACACTTTGCGTGTCTGTTTCGCAAGTTGTCGAGTAAATGCCCTTCCTCTACATGCGTCAAAGAATTGATGGTAATCCTTGGTATTGCAGAAGCACCGAAATGGCTTCGACGCGAAACTCGTAAATATTTGATAGAGCAACTTGTGCAACCCAATGGAATTGCGTCGATCGTAGACGTTGTCTGCGAAGATGTATTGGATCTCGGGGAACATTGGAACAAATTGGACATTATCACCCGATTAACAGTTGCCTCGCATGGAACCAATACCGACCAATATTACAAATCCATATGCTCGCAAGTACATTTCGCACGTGCATTACTCTTTGTCACGTTTATTTACTCGTCCTCGAGCAGTTGGTAATTTCAGGACTAAACTATGTTTCTCCGTTTCAGTTACTAAGTCTTTTGACGTCGACACAGACGAAGCATTCGACCGTAGCAAATTGCTGCATCGCCGCACTTTACGAATACAACTCGAACGTTTGTTACGAAAACATCGTGGCGGTGATGTGCCATCCGTTACTAGTAAATCCAGAAAATCAAGAACAAAAAGTAACAAAGAAAAGCGAGGAAGAAGTGGAAAGATGCATCGAAAGATTGACGAGATGTTTCGTCGTCACGGAGGAGGAGGCCTCGTCCAAACGATTGCCTCTTCAACTCTTAACGAACGTAGCTGTCCCTCTGTTTTCACTATACAACGACGTAAGACAAAGCGCTTGCGCGTTGAAAAGTAAACTCAAGCAACTCGTGCTACTTCTTTTGCGCGAAGAATCAACGAGAAACGATCTTTTCGGTGTATTTCTTGGGCATGATTTAACAAATAATTTTGGAAACCGTTTGGAGGCGAAGCTCGGGCCAACAGGTGGGATCGAAATTGTCGGAATGGACGAGCCGTGCAAATACGAACAGCTCGCAGACACTTTATTCGATCTGACATTTACCACGGACGTGCTGTCAACCGAATTATTTTCCTATCTATCAAAGTATCTGTCAAATTCTATGAAACTAGATCGAAAGGAAGTTCAAGGCGCGTTAGAAACCGAGAAGAACGACACATTGGAAAAGATGGAAGAGAAATTAGCAGCTGTAAAACTTTTGTCGAATCTAGCCAATATATCAGCTGTGCGAGAGGCACAAATCGAAGATCCTAAGTCGTTGATGTATCTCGTAAGATCGTTGTTCGATCGGTACATCGGAGCAAGACTCCAGACTCGCGAGAGAGATTCATCCACGGAAGAGGATGACTGCGAGATCTTGTACGTTGGCTTGATGTTGATGAAAATGATTTTAAGCGAAAGAGAGAAACCTTTGGATTGGACAGTGTTCAGCGATTTTGTAAAATTCTTGAAAGAACGTTGCCGTTCAAACATCTCGTCTCAATTGTTGTCGCTGACACGGGAATTGACAGAGCTAATCGAAACTCGAGGTAAATCGGAACGAAAACGATATCAGGACTTATCGGTTAATCGTAAAGCGTCGAACAAATTCGAGGAAGCACTCGCAGATCTTGCAGATCCGTTGCTACCTGTACGTGCCCATGGACTCGTAGTTCTTACCAAACTAATTGAAAATATGGATCCACGTGCTATTGCTAGGAAAACGGTCCTTCTACAATTGTTCAACGTTGGTGGAAAAGACGTTTTTCTCTTACTTTGATCGTTTACAATCGTTGTACGCCTCTACACGTTATACACGTACATGTGTTTTTGTAGGAAAATTTGAAACACGAAGATTCATTTATATATTTGGCAGCGATTAACGGATTGTGTGCTTTGGCTACTTTGTATCCACGAGTAGTCGTTGAAACATTAGCAAAGGAATATATCGACATGCCACGACGCAGCTGTTCAACGGAACAAATAACTACGGAAACGAGAGTTAAGTTGGGAGAAGTACTTGTCAAACTGACGAGAAATTTAGGTATTTATTTTTACTTACTTTCTTACGTTTTCTTTCTCTCTCCATAAAATTCTCTCTTACGTTATATCATTCTGTAGGCGAAATGGCACCAGCTTATAAAAACATCTTGATAAATGGATTCCTATGCGCTGCGCGAGATACAGATTCTTTAGTACGTGCTTCCAGTCTTTCTTGCTTGGGTGAACTGTGCAAAGTATTAGGTTTTCGTTTGGGCGATATCGTCATCGAGGTACGTTTCATTAATTTAGATAAATATCGAAACTATACAGAGCCACAAATCTAGTTTTTCTACCAGTGTTGTTACCAAGTCCAAGCGTGATCTTCTTCTTAGACTTTAAAAATCTATCGTACACGTTCGACTCGCAGACGTTGTCTTCGTAGAACTTGGTATATATTTTGTAGATTATCTTTCTGTCTGCTGTTTCGAAACATCAAAATTTGAAAAGTTTGAAAAAAATGTTCGTTGGAAAATTATCGTATTTGTATCGACACGTTGAAATTTTTAGATAATCTATTGCATCAGCTGTATCATAAAAACGGACAGAGCTGCTGAATGTCGACGAGCTGCAGTTATGGTTGGCACTTTATTGTTCCGTGGTCTTGGGAAAAGTACATTAACAAGCCTGGGTAGAGATCTGGTCGACTTGTATCGTGGTCTCAAATACTTGCGAGACAACGACGAGGATCTAGCGTTACGTTTACACGCTCAATTAGCTCTGGAAGAACTGGACTCTATAGTGCAAGATTTTCTCCTTTCGTCTTCGAAACTTGAAAAAAGAATTATCCTTTAGTTTCGCGGTTTGTAATTCGTATTTTTGCAAATAGTTTCACATCGAGAAATTTTACGACTTGGAACGCAACGTAGAACTTTGACGATCTCGAATAAAAACGACGATACAATCGAGTTTGATTCAACGTTTTGTTTCTGTTAGAAGATATATATTACAATTTTATACATTTTTATGTACACACTTTTCATCGACGAACCATTACGAATTTCTTCTTTTTCTCGCGAAAACGAGATTAAAAACATTACCAAACTGTCTGTGTATTAGACGCGTAGGTAGACTGCTCTGTCTTGTAGTCTTTTAGGTGTAAGGGTGTAAGGGTGTAATAAATACCACTCTGGTGAGTATACTTTGTCGACAAAAGAATATCGGAATAGGCACGGACCAACGTACAAAACGTTTATTTCA